TATAAGATATTTCTTTCATTTTTCCATAGGTTGACCTGTATCATGACTTAGCAGCTGTTCATTTCATGTTTAAAATAATATTTATTCCCTAAAGATAGACACAGGGCAGAGAATATCCTATTACTAGATTTTACTTTGGATTAGAGCAGTATGTGGAAATGCAATGAAGTTGATTGCTGAACCTAGGTAATATAATAAGGCTTTAAAAAGCAAAAATAACATTTGCTCAATTTAGCTGAAAAAACAAACCTCAAATAATGTAATAAAGGTCTCAATTCAAAGTTATTTGAACTCTGTAAAAGGGAATTGCTTAAGATTGAGAGGACTAACACTATATTAATAAGAAAAGGAAATTTAGTTTACTCCTTTAAGATTTACGTCCTTGGAAAATTTAAAACTGCCTTTCACAAAGAGTCTGGATCCAAGAGTCATTCAGGATCAACAAAATATAAAGTCAATGCAATTTGCCCGTTTTTCTCTCGTGAAATCTTGAAGTGTGATGTTTTGTGATGTATTCCAAAGAGGTCAATTAACAAAAAAATAAAGTAGGCTTCACAGTCGTTTGGAATATAATGTCTCTACTCAATCCCAAGCACACAGGAAAGAGGTGAGAGAAAAGGGAAGTGCAGACAACTGCTCACTCCATACCACAGCCTGGGCCTAAAAATGTGCCTGGTGTGAGGTGGTGGTCATCACAGTTGTGGTGAATGGTCGGGTGGAAGCCATTTCAGTGCTGGGGATCTGGGAAATCAATTGTACCACATCCTAAAAAGAAAGTTTCAAGAAGGAGATTTTTAATGAAAAGTTTACTTTATTTCTTAAATATGTTGTATTTGGAGTACATAGACTACCCAGGTAGAAGTGTCATGGAGGATGTGGCACTCTGCCTGGGAGAGTGATCAGAACCAGTCACAGGCGATGACTTAGCCTAGGCAGCTGGATGCACATCGATAGGAAGAGGTCATTGTGAGGAGAAAGAGGCCACGCACAGAGCCTTGGGGAATGCCCACCCCCGGGCGGCAGGAGGAGAACCAGGACACTATGGGTCACCACCCAGGAAGGAAAACTACTGCAAAACAACAACGACACATAGATAGGCCACGCTAAAAATGACTTTCTTATTTATCCTCATTTTGTCTCCAATAAAGGGTAGATGTTTTCCCAAGTCCATTCAGCCTCTGTGCTCAGTAAACACTTGCACCAAAAGGGGAAACCAACTGGATTCCTTCCCAAAATTAGTAGGAAGCCAAAAGGGCAGGAAGAAAGTTGAAGGAAAGGGAGAACGGGTCTGTACCACCCCGGGGAGGGAGGCACAGGCCACCCGCCCTGGGTGCCTGGCAGGTGCAGGCGAGCAGGAACCTTCAGTTCCTCAGCAGCTGCCACTCAGCTGCCCAGAGGAGCTTCTCTGAAGGAATTTGAAACAGGCCCAGAAAGAAGCACCCAGCTTACCCCAGAGACTACTACTAATGCCCTCATTTGAAAACACAGTGGCGGGCAAATGTAGATTTACAGTAGTTCCTATAGCAAATGCAAAGATTAATCAATTAATAATAACAATACAAAAATAAACTCTGTTTTGTGTCATCACAACTGTAAACCTACTTTTATCACAAGGGGACCCAGAGGTCAATATAATCTGATTTTATATTAGGAGGCAGACCCACTAAAGTTATGTAATTTGGTCATGATTACATAATTAATTAGTGTCAAATTACCAACTCTATCTCCTCTATGGGAAATTTGTGTTTTTCAAATATAAAAAGCTCATACATGGGTCACCATCACAAAGTAGAAGACTATGGGGATTCTTTTTCAGGATTACTTTAATAAAAATATATCTTTTAATTGCATCATTTTATTATCTGCCTCAATTTTCTGTGTTGATTTGACAGACCTAGTGTTTCATTGGGATAGACCTAAAATTGTTTTTCTCCACATTCCAAGTTATGGAAACAAGAGAGAATGTTCTCCTTTTTTTGATAGTGAGTTGACACTATCATAGTGAGCTGCTCAGACAGAATTATTATTTCTAGAAAAAGAAAGAAAATTGTTAAGCTTAGAGGCACAGGACAAATTAACCAGAGTGAAAGAATTTCTTTTCCAAATTCCAGACAGACACAGCTTGACACTTTTGAAAGAGGGGTTATGTGGATTACAATGTTTTTATGTCTTCCTCTTTTCCTCTTTTATCATAATCAACCTCAGCTGTTACATTACTCCAAAGTATAGAATTTTGACAAATTATATTTTCTTTTCAGAGCATGCGAATACAAACAGAATGAGTTTGGTTTTGTTTGCTAGCCTTTCCTCACACCCATGATGCTGGAGAACGGGAAAACATTGTGAAAGAGGAACAGTAAACACCGAACCCAGGAACATTACATTCATTCCAGATAAGCTTATACATTGAGCTGTTTTTGTATATTGTGTTGATGTCTTCTCTGTTTCACACACTGAAGTACTATGTTATTCTAACCACAACTTCAGGACAAATTGATAGCACATGCACACACATGGCCAAAAATGTTGACTTACCCAGTGTACTGTGTATTATACAAATGAGTTTTTTGGTTTATTTTGACCAAATATAATAGTGGGAGCGACCCTTAAAATAGAACTATTGCTGAACACTAATGAATTTTTAAAAGATAAATGTTTGTTGGGGCGCCTTTGGTAGACATTGTCTCAGTTCAAACACTTCTCACTCCGATAAGAGTCAGTGGAAATCAACAGGGAAAGCTGGTCCAATCTATGAAAACAGATGTTTCAAACCTACTTACAAACTTAGTAAACTTAATTTTAATGTTTAATGTTTATAAATGTTATAAATATTATTTTATTTTCTGCTTCCATGTATAAAACACCCTACAAGGCAGTACATATAGAAGACCCAAATCAATAAATTACTAGAAGAAAAAGAATAAAAGTATATAATAATTAATTGCAGTTATAACATTTACTACGTACTAGTAAAGAAACAAATGCAGCGTGAGTTGTAATATCAAAAAACTGGAAGCCCCAAAATCCAGAAACACTGGAATGAATAAAGTGTCATATATTCATACGATAGACTGCAATGAAACTTTGAAAGTACTGCTATACACAGCGTAATAAAGAGCAAAGGAAATCGCAAACACACACGCACAAATTACATGTACACCGTGGATGCCACTCATAAAAGAATAAAATCGGGCAGAAGTTAAAATATGCTGTAGAATCCCTGCCAGTGGTTATCTCCGGGAAGGAGCCTGGAGGTTAGGACTTGGAAGAGGCACAGGAAGGCTGCTGCAGTGCTGGTGATGGATGTATCCTCATCTGTGTGGTGGTTACATAAGAGTGTTTACTCTGAGGAAAGGCACTGAGCTGCATGCTTTTCTGATTTATGACCTTTTCTGCACATATGTCATACTTCATTTAAAAGTTTATTTTATGATAAGACGGCGTAAGTAGACTCCCTCATATCTTTGCCGCTGAATGGAGTTATAAAACCTAAACCAAATGCATAAAGCAGCTACTTAAGGAGTCTGAAAAATGAACAGCAGCAGGAAGATGGAGAAGACCAGTACCATCAAACTGGTAGTGGATTCATCATTATCCCCTTCCGCTAGCTCCCAGCTGAGGGGCTGATGAGAGCTCAATCATCAGATCCAAGCAAAGCGATTTAAAAGAGCCTACGTACTCCATCGCTATTCTTATTGTGTTCGTGCAAATAATCAGGCCAAACTGAATCTGCACTTAATACAGTAAATAAATTGGTCTTAATTTGGCTCTTTCATGAAAATGAGGATGAGGTGTTTTGTTGTATTTTTTTTTTTGGGGGGGGGGTTATGTTTTAAAGGACTCTGTAACACAGTTGTAAAATATTAGACTCTAAAGTTCAATTAAAAGCTTTATTTTTCACTTATGAAGATTTGTAACACAGCTTGTCTCCACCAGGTTACAAGCCCTATTTATACTCAGGAGATATCAGCTCTAGACACCCTCACCACTTCCTGCTGTGCCCAGGTCTCATCGTCCCTGACGGAGAGCAAGGATACCTTGGCTCTGAAGGAAAACTTAACCCCTCTTCAGCAGGAACAGCTACAGAACAGACCTGAGCCCTTTTTCTCTGAAAGAATTCAGAACCAAGATCTTTCAGGGGGAGAGAGGTGTAGGCAGTTAGACAGACAAGAGCAAAGCAAAGATGATGGGCCAGGCACAGAAAGCCACCGGGGTGGAAAGCCCTGGGTGTAAGGTGGGACCTTGTGCTCAGGGGGACCTGCCCTCCCCTAGCACATCCCTGGTCATGCAGTTTGGACCCCCTGACTTTCCCTCCCTAAGATAAAATTAGGGCCTCAGCTGTATTTCAGCTCTGCGTCCAGAAAAGCAGCAAACACCGGACATGCAACGCCAGGCGCCAAGGCTGACCTTGGGACCAGCTGCATTGAATAACGGCCGTGGAGACCCAGACCCTGAAAGGACACACCGGAACGCTGATGAATCTTCTATAAGATCTTCCACTGGGACTGCCCCTAAAGTCTCAACCTTAAAACCCTGAGCACAGGGGACCCAGCTCTCCCTCTTGGAAGCACACCAGTGGCTTTCCCTCCTCTCCCTCCCCTCCCCATCCTCCTAGGTGTGTCACCTTTACCCTCCTCACGTCTAAGTCCTTCCTTTACTTCTGCAACTTATTTCCTAAGCCCGGTTGTCCCATGAATTACTTCTACCTCTGTGATTTTCCAAATAAATGTTCTTTTATATATATATATATATATATATATATATATATATATATATATATATATAATTTATAAAATTCGTGGAATTTTTAATGACCAAAAGTAAAGGTCAATTTTATTGCGTGATAATTTTAAAAAGAAAACTAACATAAATAAAAAAATAATTTTTATAAGCTTACTTTAAAATGTATGGCGCAAATGTCCCCAACCAAGACTTCAGTATCTAGGTTACATCAAAGATTTGACTACAAATGAAAACCAGGAAGGTAGTGATGTACTCACCACTGTTCGCCCCTCTACAGTTTCCATTACTAGAATCCATAGGAAAATCTGAAAGGTGATAGAATAAAGTAAGAATCATCACATATTCATTATTACTTTAAGAATCCTATGTAATAAAAAGCTAATATGCAAATTGTCCCCTCTGGAGCTCGATCGAAAGACTGAGTAGATGATCCAACTGGTAGGTTAGTTTGCTGCTAGGGTCGGGCTGATCAGGACTGAGCGAGACGGGTCAGACACGCCCTGGAGCCCTCCCGTGGTCCCTCTCCAGCTGGCCAACCTCCCACGTCCTTCCCCGGCCCCGATCATGCACAGTGGGGTTCCTCGGCCTGGCCTGCACACTCTCGCAATCCGGGACCCCACAGGGGATGTCAGAGAGCTGGTTTTAGCCCAATCCTGCAGGCCAGGCTGAGGGACCCCACTGGTGCACAAATGCACCAGGCTTCTAGCCTATATAATAAAAGTCTAAGTGACCACTATGGCAGAACAACCGGTTACTAGGATGCGCACTGGCCACCAGGGGGCAGACATTCAATGCAGGAGCTGCCCCCTGGTGGTCAGTGTGCTCTCACTGGGGGAGTGCCACTCAGAAGCCAGGCTCATGGCTGGTGACCGCAGGTGCCACAGCAGGAGCCTCTCCTGTCTCGCAGCAGCAGGCACAATGGGTGTGATGAGCGCGAGCACCACCTGGCCCCAATTCAGGCTCCTCCCTGGCCACCTACCACCTGGCACACTGCCACGTCCTCCAGGTGGTCCCAGACTACGAAAGGGCTCAGGCCAGGCTGAGGGACAACTCCCCTCGGTGCATGAAATTCATGCATCGAGCCTCTAGTAGAAAATAATGTTCTTTCTCTTTCTTTTCTTCATAGGTCATATCATGAATATGTTAAACGAGGAGGGGTTAATACCAAATTAGGATAAAAGCACCAAAAATTACAATTAATGAGTCGTATATTAATTTAACGCCTTTTACTCTATTTAATGACTTTATTCACAATAAATGTATTCACAAGGAATGTGCCAGTGGTTTTCCCATTCTTGAATAAGTCCAATAATAATGTGATGATATGCATGTAATTGACGTGATCTCTCTGTAAATAAGGAAATCCTGTTAACCTACATTTTAAATAATGAATGTTAAAAGGTTGAAATAAAAATGAGAAAGAAAGCTCTTCTCTTGGAAAAGAAAACCCCTTTGACACAGCTGGATCTAGGAAAGCGGTTTTCCTCTTTCATTCTTATTCACAGAAAAATATTTCTACACTGGTAAGAGTGTTTAAATGTCAATTGTTAGGATCGTAAAAATAAGGAAAGAAAAGCAGTGTTCTAATCACAAATAACTCAAAAATTGTTTTTAGAAACTTAAAAATTCTAACAAAATCATCCTCAATTGAAATGGTAGATATTATTGGTTGGCTGTATGCCCCGCTGTTTCTAGTAGGGGTCATAGAGCTTTCCAGAATGGCCCTGAAGGAGCCAGGGAAGGTAGGGAGGTTTTCCTAGGTAGAGAATAGCATGTGGAAAAGTATGTGGGTCAAAAGCCGCAGTACATGGCCAAGGGACCTGCAAGGTTTCCAGCATGGCCAAAATAGGGCCGTAAGCTAACAGAAACGGAACTGGAGAGATCAGAAGGGATGAGATCGTGACGCTAGAGGCATATAACAAACATTTTAAGCAACAGATTTGCATTTCAGAAAGATCTCCCTGTTGGAATATGGAGGGACAATACTAGAGGGAAGTGAGTCAGCCTCCATTCAATGGCCATAATCCATGGGACAAACACTGGGGTTCAAACTAAGAAAGGAGCACTGGAGAAAGAGGGATGGCCATTGGATTTCGAGTAGATTCAGAGCACCTGATACCCACTGAAAATCGGGCATGAGGAAGAGGATGGAAGCAAGACTGACTCTCAGGCCTAGAGATGGCATGTGGCAGTGCCTCATAACAATATAGAAAAAACTGTAAAAGAATAGGCCTGTGAGGGTGAGGAAATGACGAGTTTTCTCTGGAGCACGCTGACACTGACAGGCTCAGGATTAGATGTGAAAATCTGGGGTGCACGTTCTCCAGTATCTCAAAAGAAGTAGTTTTATCGTTTGAAACCCCTTATCCAGGGTTGTTTTTTATTCTCTTAAACTCTACAGACAGCCCCCAACTTACAATGGTTAAACCTCACGGTGATGTGAAAGTATCGCACCTCCAGTAGGAATATACTACGAAGTTTGAGTGCTGGTCTTTCTCCAGGCCGGCTATGTGCACCACGACACCCTCCTGTGCTGCTGGGCAGCCGCAGCGAGCCACAGCGCCCCGCCGGGGCCAGGAGGGCCAACAACAGCCTCCAGTGTGCGCTGCCCGCGCTTTTGGACAGTCTGTGCTGAGCACATTCGCGGTAGGCGAGCCCTGGCTGTGATGTTCATTAGTATGTTAAATACGTTAAATGAAGGTTCGACTTTCAATGTTTCCAACTTAATATGGTTTTATCATCAGCCCATTGTAAGGTGATGAGCGTCTCCGTATAAATGGGCTTTCACAGTGATAAAAGCAATGCTTTAGCTGCAATCTGGTGGTCAAAAGACACACTCTCTCTCGAATGAGGAATCACTTCTTTCTTCATTCCGAGGAAGTATAGTATAGAATGGGTTCCGGTTTGAATCTTCTTTCTTATAATAGCTTTATGGATTTGGATACATCACTTAACCTCTCTATTTGCTTCGGCTTTCTTTTCTAAAGAATGGCTATAATAGCACCTCTCACATAGCGATTATATAATTAATATGCATACACACTTAAAACAGCACTTAGAACATGTGTGGTATAATTAATTATTATTTTGTTGCTGCAAATGACCCCTCTCCTGAGGATGATACATCCTTTCCCCAATCACGTTGTTGTTGTTCAATGTTTATGCTGTGTTTTACTGTTTATCAGTCACATGGATATTTCTTTTGTTCCTCACAATCCCCAATGTCAAATGACTTGCTTAAAATAAAATATCAATGGCAAATCTGGAATTCCAACTAACAGCCTATAACTCTAGAGCTGTGATTTTCTCCAAGTTGAGGGAAATAGTCAACTCCTAATTATTCTAAAGTATATCTCTATATGGTGACTTTTGATCTCCTCTTCTTATACATCTAGTAAAAAGAGAATAAAAATATTTTGTTCCCGACAAACTTCCAATTAGTTGTTGCTACAAATAGCAAAATTGACTACGTTATATTTGGCCATTCTCTTCTAAGTAGAGGTGTAAGAGGAGGAGATCAAGAGTCACCATATCCATATACGGTGGGACCACTGATAGTCGGGTTAACTGTAAATTAAATAACACTGAGATATTCTTCCAGACCCCATTCCGAGTGCCTGTCGTGATTTTACAGGATGAAGGATTCTTAAAGCCGTGTTTTCTCCCCAGTTTTCATCTAAAATTTCCATTTCTCCTCTCCCATCCGCTTTCCTCCTATCACACTGAATAAGTCTTCCTTCGGAGTGTCTGGCCCCTCAAATATTTGTCGACTGGGGCAGAAGAAAAGGCTGCCTGTTCCTCGGAGAGTGGAGAGGTGGTTAAACAGCAGTCCATGCATGTGGAAGTTGGCCCGGCTCTGCCAGGCGGGCCTGGGCCAGAGAAATGTGTTGAGCAAGAGCTGGGGTGACAAGGTAACACCACCGCGGAGAGCAGCGGTGACTGAGGAGTGATTATAAGGCCCTTGGCATGGCCCGCCACGGGTGCTGTATAAATAGCTGTTAAATATCATACCGTACATTTTCTTAACTGCCTGAGTGCTCCGCCTCTGATAAACCATTTGTAACCCACAAACAGCCATCAGATGCATTCTCTTTTCCTGCTGCTCCCACAGGAACGGGCTCAGGGGCCTGAGGCCCAGGTGGACTTGTATAAAATGAAACAGGATGAAGCTTCTATGTTCAGAAGAAGGTCTGCTTCCCCAGTTCGGTCCCGCTGTGAGGCTTGTTTTCCAGAGCTGAACCAACCGAAGCTCTAGGGCCGTGGTCGGCAAACTGCAGCTCGCAAGCCACATGTGGCTCTTTGGCCCCTTGAGTCTATAAAATACCACGGCCTGGGCGAGTCTGTTTTGAAGATGTGGCGTTAGAAGAAGTTTAAGTTTAAAAAATTTGGCCCTCAAAAGAAATGTCAGTCGTTGTACTGTTGATATTTGGCTCTGTTGACTAGTGAGTTTGCCGATCACTGCACTAGGGTGAACCTGCAGTGACCAACACACCGTTTCAAAAAACAAATGAATACACATCAAAAATACCAATTTTCTATAACAGTGGTAATCACAGTAAAACAGCTACAGCAGCAGCAGAGATTTGTTAAGAGCCATGAACCAGGAGGTACATCTTCTGTGTAATTTCATTTTCACATGCCTGTCGGAGGTAGACAGCACTGTCGCTCTGGTACAGGTAAAAAAACTGAATCAGAGAGGTTATATAATTTCCTTCTGATAACAGCTGGCATGAAGCAGAATTAAGATTCAATAACTGGTCTGTCCACATCCTTTACTCACCAGACAATATTAACTAGCCAGCTGAATGACAAACTTGAACTAGTAAAATTCTCAGGTAAAGTATGTCGCCATGACCATATAGTAAATGTAAAATGTGGAAAACGAATACATGTAATGTGAATTTATGATGGTATGATATTTGTTATAAATATATGTTTTGCCCTCAGGATTTCAAAAGCAACAAAGCAGTTTGAGCCGGGACCGGTTTGGCTCAGTGGATAGAGCGTCGGCCTGCGGACTGAAAGGTCCCAGGTTCGATTCCGGTCAAGGGCATGTACCTTGGTTGCGGACACATCCCCAATGGGGGGTGTGCAAGAGGCAGCTGGTCGGTGTTTCTCTCTCATCGACGTTTCTAACTCTCTGTCCCTCTTAATTCCTCTCTGTGTAAAATCAATAAAATATATTTAAAAAAAAAAAAAAAAAGCAGTTTGAAGCAATGTCCCATTTCGATAAGACTTTGCTTTGTAAAATGTTCTAAACTTGTTTGCGGAGTAGGAAACAGATCTATGTGAAGGGTAGGATTTGAGAAATCCTCTTGGCACTGAAGGAATGTGAAAGCTAGTCCCGTTTTTACTCAGGAAGACCTTATTTTTATAGTCAGCTGGGTTCTAGTCAGAAGACATAAGGACTCTGTTTATACCTGCAGGAAGGGGGTGGGGGTGGGGCAGCGGGAAAGAGGGGGAAGCCCAGCTTAGTGAACTATCACACCCCCCTGAACCGAGGAGTATATTTGCATCGTAAATTAAACTGGCCGCATGTGGTAGCTCCTAAGTAATTCCAGGTGCCTGACAGCTTGACCCAGGACAGGGAATGTAATTTCCAGCAAACTGGCCTTGGAAGCCAAGGGGACCCTTCAGGCTAGAACCCACCCCTCCGTGCCCCATTCCCACGCCCCCTTCAGCCCCCTCCTGCCACAGCAGTCTGAGTCACACTGAAGGTAAAGGCGGGGGAAGGGAGATCTTTCCTGAAATATGGTTCCAACTGCCACCTACCCCTTCTCGTTTTTCTAGCAAGAACTGTGTCCACAAAGCAGATATGGTGGCCTTTTAAGGTAGCTCAGAAATCAGGTCCATGGACTGACAAACTGTTTCCATGCATGCCCTATTTATTCGAGAGCCCCAATGAGGCGATTGTCCTGTGCTTGGTCCACAATGATCGGTAACTCGGGGACACTGACGGAAATGGCTTCCCATCAATATCGACGATGGCCTTGAGAGCCATTAACCTGGCCAAACGTCTCTCCTTTGAGGCCATCTCTGAGAGGCTTCAGAGCAAGGCTTCTCCTTTAGGGGGAGGACTGCATTTCACAGGAACCATGGGCACCTCCCTCCCAGCCCCTGGCCTGAGAGGAGTGTCAGCATTTAACAATTCTAAGTGCCTGGCAGCCCGGGCAGAGCTCACCCAGCTCTTCCAGAGTCTGTACAGCCTGTGACAGCACTGAATGCAAAGGCTCAAGAGTGCGCTTTTAGCCACAAGTTTAACTACAAATTCATTTCTTTCTGATTATTGTATACAAGCAGTTCCCGGTTCCTGATCAAAATCAAGGAAACAATAGGTATATTCGAAGAGTGATACACTAAGTGAAGTGACCATCAAAAGCTCTTGAAATCTTTCTGTTCAGTTGTAGTTTTGTGGCTCTTTCATACACTTTCCCCCTCCCCACTCACTTTATATAAAACAGGTAATGTGCACAAAGAGCAATTTTTTTTTTTTTCAAATCTGTTATCTGACACCCAGGAACTATTACCGAGAAACGGGCTGAGCACATTGAGAGGCAGAAGAAAGATGTTATGCCCAAGAAAAGAACAGAAAGGAGGCAGTCAAGTCTTCACATCCAAGCACAAAGCTGATCTGGGAAGGGTATGAAAGAAGTCCAATCATAAAAGATTGGGTTTATTTCTTTAAAGGCTACAGAGGGTGGCATTTAAGTTTGGGTTAACTGGCAGGAGTGGTACTGAGTTAGCGTTAAATGGACCAGAAGGAACGAGGTTTAGCTGAGGTCTTCAGAGTTATGACTGTCAAACTGAGACCAAACACTAGTGAGAAAACAACTTGTGGTCGATTCTATTAAAGGCAGAACAGCAATAAAGCTTTATGGTAGGGAAGGATCGAAATGCATGTGTGGTTGGGGTACACACAGAGAAAGAGCATGAAATAAGGTACTAAAGACAAATTATTCGCAGAGCATAAGAGTGGGATAAGAGGCGAGATTAAAAATAACATTACATGAGTGTGTGATGATAACACGCCTTAAATATAACTCCTTCCACCCCTATGTCATTTACAAAGTGACTTGGAGGCATCTGGGAATGTGAAAAGCGCCCAGCTGTGTCCCTGGGCCAGCTCGGTGGTGGGAGCAGGTCACAGGAGCTAGTCAGCAGTGCAGGGCCACGTCTCACAGCTGTTTCCGTCTGGAACGGAAGGACACTTTACCTCATTGAAAGGCGAGGGAAATTTAAGGTGAAGGTAATTGCTCCAATTGGGTTTTGAGCAAACACAACATACCGCTAACGACTGTGGGACAGAGGAAGGTTACTGACACTATCCGGCATTGATAACAATCAGAAGACAACAGTGCTTCAGTTTTCTGTTTTCACCAGACAATGCTGACAAGCATCTCTAAATTACAGATTGAGAAGACGATGGTTGAGAAAGCAAGAGAACCGGGGGGCAGGAAAGCTCAGGGACTGTAAACAAATAAAGAATTTGCAAAAAGCATCACTATCCAAGACCTGGTTCCTTCCACGTGTGAAGAATGCAAAGTAGAAGTGAGATGGGAGTGGAGTAACCAGGGTGCTTTGGAGGAACACATCATCGCAGTGTTTCCCAAACTTCTCTCATGATGAGAATCACCTGGTGGAGCTGTTAAACTACAGATTCCTGACTCCCAACTAAGAAGTGCTATATGTTCCCAAAAAATTCTAGATTAGCACTTCTTAGTTGGGATTCGGGAATCTGTAGTTTAACAACTCCACCAGGTGAGAAGTTTGGGAAACTGTGATCTATTGGAAGGCGGCGCATCAGATGGGAAGGGTGAGGAGGGGAGAGAGGAGAAGATGAAGAGAAGGGATCGGCATAGGAAAGACAGGGTCAGAGTCACAGGACCCCAAGCAGCCGGCGGGGAGGCGGGGGCAGAGGCAGAGGCTCGCCGCCCGGACTCACCCGCGCCGTCGGCGGTGACGATGGCCTCGGGGGAGATGCACACGCCGCGGTCATACACCGGCAGCTCCTCGCAGGCCAGGCTCTCGGGCCACGCGTGGCGGTACTTGACGAGGATGGGCTCGCAGCCCTGCCGGGCGCGCTCGCACACGGACTTGCAGGGCTTGATGGGCTCGTGCTGGAAGTCGATGGTGCAGATGGGCGCGTACATGGCGCAGAGAAAGAAGAGCAGGTCGGGGCTGCAGTGCGTGCCCAGCAGGCCCTCGAACTGCTCGATGGCCAGGATGGCGTTGGCCTGGGTGCTGTGGTGCAGGTGGTTGGGCATCTTCGTCATGTTCCAGGGCAGGGACTTGCACAGCGGGATGCGGACGGGCTCGCAGGCGGCAGCGCGGGCCCCGGGCGCGCGGAGCAGGCAGAGCGCCGCCAGGGCGAGCAGCCCGGCCCCCGGCAGCCCCGGCCGCCTCCCTCCCGGGCGGCCGCCGACCATGATCCCGGCGGGACGGGGCGCCGGGCAGCTGCGCCGAGCACGCCGAGCGAGAGGCCGGCTCCGCCGTCTCCCCCTCCTCCTCCTCCTCCTCCTCCTCCTTCCCCTCCTCCCCCCCTGGAACTGGACACGGCGATCTGGGCGCTTCTCCTCCCCCGGCGATCCCCCAGCTTCCGAGGATCAAATTCCCCCAATGGGGTCCCACGAGCTCCGCCGAGCGCCCGCCGCCCCGGCTGCCCTGCCCGGCGTCTGAGCCCCGCGGGGCGGGCGGCGGCGCCTATTTATTCCCCGTCCCCCCTGGCGACACGTCAGGCTCCGCGGATGACCCCGAGGAGAGGGGGGACGGGGGAGGCGCGGGAGGGATGGGAACAGCAGCGGTGGGTGCTCCGGGGAGCGGCGTCCCCCGGTTACAGGAAGGTGCCACCAGGAGCTGAAAGGGAGGAGGAGGGAGGGGTGGAGGCTGAGCAAGGAAGGAAACCCAAAGAGAAGTCCCCACGGGGGCGGGGCGGCGCAGTCAGAGTTTGCAAGCCTTGCGAGCTGAGCCAAAAGGTGCCCTTTTTGCCGGGAGCTGCGGCGGCTGCAGGAGGGCCGGCCGGCCGGCCGCGGGGAGCCCCGACGGGAGGTCTGCGCCCGGGACCCGCGGTCCCGCTCTCCCAGCTCCAGGCCGGGGGGTAGGGGGGGGGGCAGCCCCGCCCCGGGGCAGACCCAGCCCTCCGAGGAGCGGAGGAGGGAGCGGGAGGAAGGGGGCTGGGGGCTGGGAGCGGAGGGGAGGGGGAGGCCGGAGCGGCTCCGGCTGGAGACCTGCACGCCCACCCCACCCCGCGGAGCCCCGGGCTGGCTCCACAGAAAGCCTCCAGCCCCGGACCGAGCCGCCGCCCCGGTTTCCAGCCGAGGCGACTGTCCCCCCGGTCCTCCCTCTGAAACCCACCCAGCCCGGTCTCCCCGGCCACGGGAGCTGCAGCTCTGTCTGGGGGGCCTGGGGGGCCCCCCGGTTCTGCAGAGCCGGCAGGAAGGGGGAGGGCTGGAGCAGTGTCACTTGAAAGGTCCAAGTCGCAGAAAACAGGGGCCCTGGTGGCAACGGTGGAGCCTTAGCGAGAGCTCCTGGCTGCAGCGGTCTGCACTTTAGGTAATTAGGTGGAAGGAAATTGCCTTTCATTAAAAAAAAAAGAAAAGAAAAAAGAAAAGAAAAAAAAGGCGAAGAAGAAGAAGAAATGCTGGAAACGATTGCAAATAGGCCTCCAGAAGCAAATAAAATCAAATTAAATTAAAAACCTTTCATTTTTCTTCCTTTGCCCTGCAGACAAAACCTTTGAGTTTTGTCGTGTTTGGGTTTTTTGTTTGTTTGTTTTTTATCTTAAGAAGGAAAACTAATTGCTTTGAAGCTCTTGCACATAAAATAGCACTTAATATTTAACTCTCCTCACCAAGCATTTCACCTAACAGTTGAGGGAAATTACACCACAAATAATAAGGATGATGATGATGACAACAATAAAATCCTTCCCACCCACATGAGCTCAGTCCAGAGGAGAAAATGGAAAGCAGATCCCCTCCGGGCCGCTCCCGCCGCTAATGAGCCACCTCCCCCGCCGCGGGCCGGGCGCGCTGTAAACTGAATGACCCGCCGAGGCCCGCGCCCGGCGCTTTCAATGGGAAATCTCGGAGCCAAAGGGTCGCAGGCTGTGAGAAAACACAGCCCTCATGGAGAGGCGAAGGAAACAAAGCCTAAACCAAAACAGGAAGTCACCTTTGCTCTCCATCATTGAGATATTTCACTGCTTAAATCCATCCGACAACAAGCAGGAAAAGGATGCCCCCACTTCAGAGCGCACAGTGAGAGGAAGGCTGCCATCCTCCAGCCCTGACTGGACAGCACTTAGGAAGCCTCGCTGCTAACTTGAGATGATGAGATTTTATCTCTAAAATGACCATCATCAGCAATTTGTGCCTGCAGTAAAATTTTTCAGAAGGAAGTTTGTTCCACGTACGGGGATAAAAACAAAACAAAACAGATGGTAGGTAGGGAGTCAGTATACAGACTTTGCCTGGTCTACAATATATTGTCACTTAAAAACAAATAAGTAAGTCAAAATTATTTAGCAAGTAAAATCGAGGTGGGAAAACTTTAAAACAGTCAATATGTGAGCATTTGGGGCCTATTTCCTCTTAAGGAAATGTAGGTGGGATTTTCAATAAATTAGAAGGAAGAAGCGAGGGATAGATATAATGGATTCTTTGCTAAAACATTTTCCTGCCATCTTAAATCTTAACGGTGTAAGAAGAGATGTAGATAGTTGGAGAGCCGTTGTCTTAATGGTTCTCCTACTTACCTCCAACAGTTTGTTTTTCTTCCCCTTTACAGAAGTCAGTTATCCCCTCTGTCTACCATATTCCCCCACAACTGTCCTCTAACCCAAAACTGTCCCTATCAAAACTCAGAATAAGTCTCATGCCTCCCAGAGGTCTTTTTGGCCATTTCTCTAGCTAGTGTCCCTTGAACGTTGTTCGTTTTTGCAAACTATTCTTTAGCACGTGGCAATTTATTGCTTCAGAAAAAAAACTTTTCATTACTCAACTGGGTGTACGCTGCCTTCCTTAAGAGCTTGTATGACCTCTGAAAGAAGAGAATTGGCCTTCTATTTCTTTTGAAATAGGCTTTGAGAAATGTTGGCTGGTGGCATTTAAAATGTGATACAAGTATTAAGTATACATGTCTTAGAGATATAAAATCTAATTGAGTAAATAGTGATAGTTAAGTTTAAAAAATAACCTGCATGGTCCTGGCTGGTGTGGCTCAGTGGTCAGAGTGTCAGCCTGTGCACTGAAGGGTCTCAGGTTCAATTCCCAGTCAAGGGTAGTTACCTGGCGTGCAGGTTTGAACTCCTCCCTGATCTGGGTGAGTGCGGGAAGCAACCAATCAAAGTCTCTCACATTGATTCATCTCCCTTTCCCTTCTGCTCTCTCTAAAAATCAGTGAAAAAAATAACTCCTTGGGTGAGGTTTTTTTTTTAAGCTGTATGATCAGGAAGGAAACACAAATTAGACTTGTCAAAATGAGTGCCTTCGAACAAGCCCACAGTTAGAGAAAACTAAGGGAAGGGGGAAGCCTGGTGCTCGAGGAAATGGGACCCAGGGAATTTGTTTCCCCGGGGTTCCAGTTTATACAGTTCGGTTTAGCTGACAGAACACTGCTCTTGCACATGGGCTAAATGAAAGATAGCTGATTGCTTTCGTATTACCCCATAGCCAGTGAAGAAATCGCAGACTACACCATCGGCAGACAACACACAAAGGGCTTGGAGGATTGGCGTTTTTAAATGAGAATCGGATGGGCATAGCGATAATGATCATTTAGAACTCATTTTTTTTTTTTTTAGAACTAAGAATGAGAAATCAATGAGTGTTATGCAGTGAATTTTATATTTGAGGAAGTTGTCAAGGTGGCAAATGCAAATTATTAGTATAACAACATCCCACTGACAAAATGTTTTATGGAAACTGGATTCCAGGGCCTCAGGCGGCTGTCCCAGGCGCACACAGAGGGCCTCTTTCCAGAACACTCAGTGTAAGAGAAGACTATGGCACAGCACCCGCTGAGCAGCTACTTGGGGCCACGGGTCAATTCCAGGCTCCACAGCCACTTAGGAAACGTGTGATGTGCGACTCAGTCATCGCCAACCAGTCTTCTTAGAATGTATCATAGCACCATGGTCAGTGGCAGTTCATTTAACTCCCTAACAAAAGGTCCTGCAACTGAATCAGGATCAGTCAGGACTGTGGCCCATGCCATTCTGTACCAACTGAGGATCAGTCATCGGTGCCCGGGGAGCAAGGGGACTGGTGTTTATCGAGTAGTTCCTATATGCAAGCCACAAAAACTACACTATGCTTTGCCGAAGGTATTAGTTCCAAAGATGAAGAAATTACCGGTAAGTGGAATGGAAAGCCCAGAGGGATGAACTCATTCCCCAGAGCTCTCACAGCTAGCTGTAGGCCCGTCAGAAGCAGGACTTGAATCCCGCTCTTTTCACAGTTCTGACAAGCAATGCTTCCTGGGCAGAAAGGAGCTGGGAACGGAGAGAACCTGGCTTCCTGTGAGCATTGGTCTCTGCCTGAGCCCCAACCCCACCAGTGGTCAGGAACTGGTCTGCCTGCCCAGGAACAGCATGCAAAGCCTTACCCTCCTTCATGGCCTTCACCAAGGCTCTCCTGTGGACCGAGCAATTCTCAAATCCCACTTTAAGAAAACCTTCCCTTTCTAGTCTCCAGGCAACCCAACAAAAGCTTCCCACCTGTTAGCTACTTCCACATCCGGGCAGTGACTCTCCAACTGTGAGGTGCGACAGGACCGTGTGCAGGGCTTCGGAAAACACAGGTGCCGGGCCCCATCCGGTTTCTGGGACAGTGGGGCTGGGGTGGGGCCTGAGAAGCTACATTTCTAACAAGTTCCCACGTGATGTGGATACAGCTGTTCAGGGACATTGACATTCACCCTTTCCAAGTAGGTATGAAGCCCTGAATTACCCTTAGTAAACTCTTAATGTTCTGTAACGATTTCATGATTTTATATCCTGTTTATCTCTTTCTACAAAGAATTTAGAAACAAAATTGTAATAAAGCAGCCTAATAGCTAAAGGACACTCTGAATGGGGTCAGAGGAGAGGGGTTGGGGGAGAGGGAGGGTAGATGTGTCTCTTAGTTACTCAGAGGCCATCCTCAGAGCCCCAGGGAGACTTGACAATGAAACCAGCTGTCTCCCTGGCCCCAATGAAAATAGCAATGCTCCAATCTCATTGCAACAAAGGTACAATAGATCTAGCATCAAAGGAGTTCCAGAAAGAAGCATAATATCTTAGCAGTCTAACCTACCCACCTGTTCCCTGTCCCTAACCTTCCACCCTCCATATTTTAATTTTAAAAGAAAACTCAGAGATAAAATTACTTATGCAAAGTCATGAGTCAATTAATGGCCGTCAACCATGCCCAGTTCAATGTCTGTTTAT